CACACATCCCTTCCAGTTGGCAGAAAGACCGTTGGCTTACCTGAACGGTCGTTCTCAGGGCACTCCCAAGAGAGTCCAAACCCACCCGGGTGTTTGTATATTGAACGATGTGGCTGTATTGACTGTAATGATTACAGGACAGAGCCTTCGTTTTCAAACTGAGCATGTGCAGGCAAAGGGAGGCATGGTCAACAAAAACATCACTCAGTCCAAGGGCAGATAGGCTGTGTTAACCCAGCATTTGGACTCTCTTCACAGTGCCCTGAGAACGACCGTTCAGGTAAGCCAACGGTCTTTCTGCCAACTGGAAGGGATGTGTGTGTAAGAGAGTAGGGGGGAGAGAGAGAAAGAAAGAAAGAAAGAGAACTTATGACCACAACTAAGCACCAAATTTTGATTGCTAAGCAAGAGCATTGTTAAGTGAGTTTCACCACATTTTACAAGTTGGCCATGCCCACCCGGTCACATGACTGCCAAGCCATGCCCATAAAATAGGCCACGCCCACAGAATAGGTAGTAAGAAAATTTGAAATCCACCCCTGAGTGGTTGGATGCTTTGGAATGACTTGCTAACAGAATCCCCAGAGAACACAACTATTCTTTTGGGAAGAGCAAGCTAGCTGCTTGCTACATAACAATATTTTATTTTGTTGCATGCCTTGAATAAGAAATCAGGGAAACATAGTTGGAAGCAAAGGCCATCAGCAGAACAAGCATGCTCACAAAAGCTATTGGAGCAACTGGAGAAAAGAAGGCACCAGCTCAGGGCTGGTCATATAGCAGGGCTCACTTGGTAGACAATGTCGTCATCCCCACCCCCAATTTTGAAAACGTCAGGATTTGGCACAGATCCCAACACTGCCAACATTCCTTGGGAAGCTCTATCACAAATCAGAGTTTCAAATCCTTCATTTAATTTATAGATGGAAAAGTGATGTTCAGCAACTTTCATTTTCATTTTCAAACAGAATACAGATGGTCCTCAACTTATGAACTCAATTGAGCCCAATATTTCTGTTGCTAATTGAGAGATTTGATAAGTGAGTTTTGCCCCATAAGTGAGTTATGCCTTTTCTTGGTACATTTGTTAAGTAAATCACTGTAGTTAAGTTCGTAACAGTTGTTAAATGAATCTAGCTACCTCATTGATTTTGCTTCTCATAAGGTTGCAAAAGGGGATCACATGACCCCAGGATTCTGCAACTGTCATAAATATGAACCAGTTGTCAAGCATCCAAATGTAAATCGCATGACCATGGGGATGCCGCATTGGTCATTATTGTGAAGAATGTCCATAAGACACTTTTTTCAGTGTTGTTTAGCTTTGAATGGTCACTAAACAAACTGTTGTAAGTCAAGGACTACCTGCAGTAAAAACATGTACAATGAAGGTCAAGAACAGCATTTTGAACTGGCCCACATGATATGCATATTAGCCATTTATTCAGAAAATTATGTGCCACTCACTCTCTTAGTTGCTCTCAGCAGTCTAAGGAAAGTAAGTTAATAAAACCGTGACCCGTCAAAACCGCGGAGGACAAAATCGCGCTCGACGAAAGTGCGCATGTTTTTACTGCAGGTAGTCCTTGACTTACAACAGTTTGTTTAGTGACCATTCAAAGCTAAACAACACTGAAAAAAGTGTC